GGGCCTGCGCCTGCTGACTGAGGAGGCTCATAGGTCCTATAGCTCATCCACAATCTTGTACTTGAGCTGTCAAGTGTGAGAGATTGGTGCCAAATTCAAGCCAACATAGCCCCTTCCCAGTAGTCTGCCTTCAACAACCCCTCCTTGTCAAATCCAACAGTTTACATAGGATGTATGGTGAATAAAGTGCTCTGAAAGATACGAATGTAGAGGTGGTGCTTTCACTGATAGCAGGAACACCTATCAGCTTCCCACAGGGCTGACATTTCAGGCTAGCAGGGGGGAGATGATCATAGGATTTTTGTGCTGCTGTTTCTAAATGGATTGTAGAGACTTTCAAGGCAAATTGCCTCACTTCTCACCACCTGCCTCGAAGAAGACGCAGTGTGAAGTAACTTTGCAACTCAAAAAAATTTTTTGGGGGGTAGTTATAAAGGAGAACCCTCAGGTGAATGGTTTCTAGAACTTAAGTTATCCTGGATTCCCTAGGCTTGAGCCTCTCTACATGAAAGTTGAATGCTTTGGGCACCAGAATCACTATTCCCCTCTTCTCAATGCCTAGAGAAATATCTGGCCTTGGAATCACTGAATGTTACACCTAGCTGTTAGCAGTGCTTAGGTGTTGCTTGCAGGAATGTGTCATCGCTTAGTTGTGTCCAACTCTTTGTGACCCATGTACTACAGCCCACCAGACTCCTCTGTCCATGGGATTTCTCAGGCAAGAATACTAGAGTGGACTGCCATTTCCTATTCCAAGGGATCTTCCCAACCCAGGAACTGAACCCACATTTCCTTCACTGGCAGGCAGATTCTTTGCTACTGAACCACCTATGTGTTTCTTGAGGTTCCCCTAAAAAATAGGAATTGGAAGTTGTACATTTGACCTTTGATAATTAACCACTTAGGCCAACACAGCATAGATACGGGAAGTTGCTAACTTTCAGGTCAAGAAGACCCGAGAGGTAGACTCTGTCTTTTAGTGTGGTGAAAATAGAACTGTTTCACTCGGAAGAAAGATTAGATAGCCAAAGAAACAGACAAAAAGAAGAATGCAAATGTAAGTGTTGACTGTACTTAAGTGCCCACAATGGTGAGGAATTTGTGTCTTTAGACTTGGTCTTTCAATCCCACTCGTAAGACTGGTCCAGGTGTGGAGATGAATGTGCGGTACTATAGTCAACGGACTATGAATATTTTTTGTACCACTCATGACATCATCTTTATGAAATGGATCTATGTATGTGAAGATCCATTTGAAATGGAGGTATCAGACTGCCTTAATCTTATGCCATTGAATATTTGATTCATCCAACTCTGATCTAAATCCATGCTCACCAGGACACACAAACCTTTTTTTTGCCACATAAGCCTACTTACAATATGCAGAGCACTGGGTCATGGAGTAACTTTGGTACCTTTGGCAATGCTCCCCCAGAGAAAATCAACAGGTTATTTCTGATCATAATTTAGTTTCCAAAGCAGCTTAACCACAATGCCAGAATGGACGGTTTCAGACCATTTGATCATGAGGAAGTTACAAGACTGAGTTTCTATGAATTCTTTGTTGCTATGGCTTACCCTCAAGTTTCATTTATGAGCCTACCTCTCAGGGCCTAGTCACGTTGATACCCTGATAAAGTAATGTTTTCAAAACAGAGGGACTCACCCACTTCGCATTGATTAGTTAAGGTTTGCTCAGTCTTTTAAAACCAGAGAGCCCTTTAATATATATAAAATTCTGATGTCCCACAACCAGCTTTCAACATGTCCAAGCCAAATAAGTACATCTTAGAGCTATATGTCCCCACCTGCTAAGAAGATTCTACTCTATATAATACTACTTGAAATAACCATAGGGAATATGTCCTAAATAATGTAGATTTTTAGCTGTATATAAAACCTGCCCCATCCTCTAGCCCCATTTGAGAGTCAATCACCCTCTCCCTTAAAACTCCCATCACCATAAGAATTACAGATAAATACCTTCTGATTTCTGCAGAAAGATCTTGACTTACTTATTGCAGAGTTTGTTTAGGGTTGGTGACAAGACACTAAGGTGTGAGTAAAGGGATTGGTGAAATTTGAAAAAGTAACCTGTTACCTAATTACAAAGTATATCCATAATGGCTAATTTAATACTGGTGATGGTGGTGGTATAATATTAACTGTGTGTGTGTGTGTGTCTGTGTGGAGTCTGAGAATGGGATATGTGAATACAGATGTGTATGTCCATGTCCATGAATCAAAATATATATATAAAGAAACACAATTGTTGCTTTCAAAGAGTTCTAATTAGGTGATAGAAAGGTAAGCATGTTCATCACATCCCTCACAGGTTAACAGTGTTAATACAAATTGTGCAACCTTTTCTCCACCTCTGTCCCATCATAAGGCAAAGCCACTTCTAGCACAGACTACCCCCAGAGCCCAATGTGTCATGTGATCAGGTGGGGATTCTTTGGTGCAGGGGACACTGAACCAGTAAATATTCTTACCCTTCATCCACCCTCTCCCATTAAAAGTTTCACTAATAAATTCTCCAACACCTACAGCTTCTCTTCTGAGTGAATACACAGTTAGAAACCACTTTAAATCATCTTTAAAACTATTATTCAGACTTGGAAATGGAAGTTAGTAATCTCTAGACGTTTTCATTTCTTCTTAGGCATGTTCTGGACATATACATAGTTCTTATATCTCTCAGAATACATAACTTAAATGTCCTTTCTTTTTCCTGATAGTCATTAGGTAATGGCTATCAAATATTAGCAGCTGAGTACATACCCATTATAATAACCACAATGCTTTCTGATGCTAGTCTGAGAAGCAATACCAGGGAAGTAGAGAATTTATTAAAATTTATTAAAACAATTATAGAAGTGATGGTTAAATAAGTATCTCATATAGAACTCAGATAACTGAATCTTTGTTAGATAGATTACCCAAATAATTTACATATGGAGGACACTTTATTGTTTGGAATATCCTTTCTTCATACGTTTCATGTACATAGATCATTTGACCTTAACAACTCTCAAAAGTATAAGGGAACTACATATTGGACAGTGTAATAGGTTATCTAAATCCAGAGGGTTGGGTGTGTGTGTGTGTGCGCGTTTATGCAGGTAGAGATAATCCTTAAATTTTGAACTTTTCACTTCTGAATTCATGGTCTTTCCCATTATTTACAGCACAAAGCTTTCCTGATAATGCAAAGCTGCTTTTAACATTAGGAAAACAAGTAAAAAGAAACTTGTACCGAACTCTCATGACCAATTGTCCAAAACATTTTATGAACTTAAGAGCTGCTTAAATTATGAAACATAGTACAACACAGTAACTTTTCTTTTGTGTGCTAAACCTAAATGAAAAATTATGAGAGCCACTAAAAGCACTATTTAAGAAATATGTATTAAGATCAATCAAGAGATAGAAAAGCTAATAATATAAATGTCAAGTATAAGAAAAATATCATTATTTTAAATGCGCATCATTTATTAAAAATGTTTAAGTACACATAATTCCATTTAAGACAAAAAAATCTAAATGTGTATAGATGTATACAGTGTTTATAGGCTTGTAAACACTTAAGTTTTATGATTATTTTTATATAGAAACAAAACTGAGCATTTTTTATGCTAAATCCATTGGGTAAAAATTTATAGGAAGACAGACTTTGCACCGTCTCAATTTATCACCCGAATATGATTATAAAGTTAAAAAGATAGCTTTATAATGAATAAATCTGGTCAATACTACCTTACTAAATTGATCACCACTAATGGGACAAACTGACATATGTCTATAAATGTACTATAATCTGAAGAACACATTACCAAAAATGCTTGATCTGAATCCAAGAATGAGAAAATAATAGACAAAATCAAATCATATTAAGGATCATTCTGTAAAACAACCAGCCTCAAACTCATCAAAAAATGCTAATGTCATAAAAGACAAAAAAAAAAAAAAAACTCATCCATTTTATTGAAAAGTAAATAGAAATGATAACAAAAGGTAGTGTGAGGTCCTTGTCTGATTCCTAGATCAAAAATAAAGTAGTTCTAAAGGACATGATTGGGAAAATAAAGGAAAATTTAAATATGAATTATGTATGTTAAATATATATGTTAAAATGGGCTTCCCTGGTGGCTCAGCCGATAAAGAATCTGCCTGCAATGCAGGAGACCTGGGTTCGATCCCTGGGTTGGGAAGATCCCCTGGAGAAGGGAACAGCTACCCACTGTAGTATTCTCACCTAGAGAATTTCATGGACTGTATAGTCCATGGGGTCGCAGAGTTGGACACGACTGAGCAACTTTCACTACTCACCATATATGTTAAATAATACTATTGTATTAGAGTTATATTTCTTTTTTAAATTGGAGTATAATTGCTTTAAAGCGTCTCATTAGTTTCTGCTATTCAAAGAAGTGAATCAGCTATATATATATATAAATATCCCCTCCCTCTTGGACCTCCCTCCCAGCCCCCATCCCATCCATCTAGGTCATCACAGAGCACCAAATGAGATCTCTATTCCTTCCCCGCAAATAGGTTCATCTATACCACCTTAGTTAAATTTCTTTGGTGTGATAATGATAAGGTTATTTGGAGACTATTTTGTACATAGGAGATACATGTCGAAGTATTTAGAGTGAAGTGTCTCACAAGCATGATATCTATGGCTCACTTTCAAAATGGATGGACGGCATCACTGACTCAATGGACACGAGTTTGAGCAAACACCGAGAGATAGTGAAGGACAGGAAAGCCTAGTGTGCTACAGGCCACAGGGCCAAAAAGAGTCAGACACGATTTAGCAACTGAACAACTTTCGAATTGTTCAGAAAAAACATTGAGTGATGAAGCTAAAGCAAATATGGGGAAATGTTAACAATTGGTAAATCTAGGTGAAACATATATAAAAGTTCATGGTACTACTTTTCTGTAGCTTGAAACTTTTGAAAATATTTTGGGAAAGATAAAACTAAATGAAATTATCCTTTGAATTCTTTATTTCATATGCCCATTTCATCAATTTTGAAATACAGGTTTAATATACATGTACTTACTCTTTTTAAAGATTTAAAATATGAAATGTTGAACAAATGTTACAAATTATAATAAAAATTTATGACAAAGTACTTCATGAATAAGACAAAGGAATTAAAAATTATGTTAAATGTCCTGTGTAAATACAAAACAGGAATAAAGAATATTGGCAGTATTAATATGTAGACTAGGTTTTCTCTAACTTAATTTCTCTGCTCCCCTCCCACTTAAAATCATAAAAGGATTCATTACAAATTGGAAGTACAGAATTTTTAGAAAATCATTGGATGATGAGTTGTATGATTCTCTTTACAGGTACAGATTACTCTTAAGCAGTCTGTAAGCCATTGACAATGTAACTCCATAGCCAATGAAAAAAGCCAAAGCACGATTTGGCTGGGGAAGGGGTGTCAAATACGCAATCGTGTGGTAGATTCGTGCTCCGACAAACAGTCTGAAGTGCAGGATGGCTGTAGACAGGTCTGGACCACTCAAGGAATACAGAAGGCCAATACCAAGAAATGGCACAATGTTTTCAAGGTCATTCAAGTGGGCTCTGTGGAAAAAAAGATGACTTGTAAAACCCTAATTTCAAAATCAGCAGAAATACATTCACTTTTCCCTCTCTTCTGAAACTAAATAGAAGTGTTAATGGATCTTAAACATGCAAAGTAAGATTCATTTTATTTCTCTCAAATTCCCTTGCTTCCCTATCCACTTGGCTGTTATTTAGAATGACTCATTATTTTGTTTCTTCTATTTTCAGTGTATCTCAACATATAAGAAAGAAGGATTTTCACACTTTCAAGAATATCAAAAGTGCATCTACATAATAAAACTCCCATCATTTTTATACATATAAAATATTTTTTCTTCTGAAGTCTGTACAACAGCAATTCAAGATTCCTCTTATAAAAATTCTTCTTCCCAAAAGAAGAAAATCCTTTGGGTTGGTATCTTTCTTAAGAGCCCCCTCACTTGTGATAGGATGCAAAATGATCACTGATACCTAACCCTTGCCCATTCACCCAAGCCATAGGTTACCAGAAATCAATTTACCAATCTTAATATCAAGAATTTCACTTTCTCCACATACAGATAACAGAATATATAACTAGCCTTTCAAACATGGGAAAAATGTCAGCCAACCTATCCTAAAATTACAAAAGGAATTAGTTAGTAGTGATGGGGCAAAATATACACAAACATGATAGACAATAATAAAGGGAGTCATGCACCCTAGATATGAAATTTATACCACAGCTAGAAGAAAACAGAAAGCATGGTTTAGACACAACTTTTTCTCCAATTCATGGCACCTCCAGCTAAGATTGTGAACACAAGGCACGTCAATTACTGGCGAGATTTTTTTAAAATATAAAGTGTATATTTATAAAAAATATATTTTTTTATTTTTATAAATATATTTATAAAGTGCTTAATTCTCAAATCTGGTAACCCTGTTCCATTTTCCACAGTTAAAAACTGCTTAAGAATCTAGACTATAAATTGAGATTTTGATAGAACTTGTAAGCTTTTGATACATATTTCAAAATGAAGGATAGAGACCTGGGTTCAATCCCTGGGTTGGGAAGATCCCCTGGAGAAGGGAAAGGCTACCCACTCCAGTATTCTGGCCTGGAGAATTCCATAGATTATGCAGTCCATGGGGTCGCAAAGAGTCGGACCTGACTGAGCGACTTTCACTTTTTTCTTTTAGTCAAAAAAAAGTGTAATTACTAAATAATCTTTGCTCAAAGATCACCATTATCACCTCCTTTCCTTTCTCCTGTTTTCTGTAGATTATCTCTAAGGTCTCCTGACAAAAATAACAACAAAAAATAAAGGCATGCAGAAGGTAACAGTAACTTGGATAAATAACAATTTTGAAAGATTTAAATAAACAACCACCTGTTCCTAAATAAAGCCAAGACAGAAAGGGTATGAGTGTTCTTGTTCCCTCTGTTTCATGGAACAAACCAAGGGTTACTGAAAGCAAGGTGTGCAAGAAAGGACAGAAACACTATTTTCTACTAAAGATGAGCTCACATCACCAATTACATCAAGGGTATTTGTTTGGACCCTTTGAATTCTCCTGCTGGACCACAGATATTTCTTCACCTCCCATCTAGGCCCTGTTACTTCCTCCTTTACCACATTCTAAAAGGATAGACATTTTTAAAATTGACAAAGAACCTATAATGATAAGACCATGTAGAAATATGTTTGTACTCAGTTGCTCAGTTGTGTCCAACTCTTTGTGACCCCATGGACTGCAGCCTGTCCATGGATCCTCTGTCCATGGGATTCTCCAGGCAAGAATACTGGAGTGGGTTGCCATTTCCTCCTCCAAGGGATCTTCCTGACCCAGGGATCGAACCTGTGTCTCTTGTGTCTCCCACACTGGCAAGCAGATTCTTTACCACTGCACTACCTGTGAAGCCCCAAGTCTATATTAAACAATTGACAAATAGAATACAGTGTGAAAACAGAGGAGAAAGTCAAGGAAAATTAGGGGTAAAGAGCTCCAGTGGTGGGGGTTTGGGGAGGAAATTCAAGGGCAGGGGTTCCTTGGAACTTACTGGCCTCTCCATTCTCTCTGGCCTCCCTCTATTTATCTCTTTCACTCAGTTCTTTTTCCTTGCCCTCAACCCTCAAAATGGTCTCACAGTATTCCTCGCTGTTCTAGTAAGGCCAGTTTTCAACAGAGCCTCACACTGTGTTAATTTATGCCTTCTTATATGCCCTTCCTTTTTTAGTTTTATTTTTTAACTGCTTGTTTTATATCGGAGTATAGCTGATTAACAATGTTGCGATAGTTTCAGGTAGACAGCAAAGGGACTCAGCCATACATACACATGTATCCATTCTCCCCCAAACTCCCCTCCCATCCAGGCTGCCACAGAATATTCAGCAGAGTTCCCTGTGCTCTATAGCAGGTCCTTGTTGGTTATCCTTTCTAAATATAACAGAGTGTACCTGTCAATCACTTCTTTTTAGACCCCAGCATAGGCACATCCTCTCCCAGTGAGCATCTGCTTAGTTCAGTATCACCTTCCCTCTAAGCATCCTAAAAGGGCAGCTTCCTTCATTTCTGTGTCATTCCTAGATGGCTACCGAAATCTAGTAGCAGATGGACATCCGTCTTTATGTATGACCACTTTCTACCAGGGTCTATTACTTCCTCTCCATCATCCCATGTTCCCATGTCCTTCCTCTTTTGGGCAAGTGCCCCTTGGTGCAAGCTTGTTCTGGACTGACCTTAACTCCAGCCCTGCTCTGGGCTCAAGATGCTTCAGTCATAACACCCTAGTCAGATCAGAGCCACTCGGATCTCAGCATCGACCGGACCTAAACCAGAGTTGCTATACATCACTGAAAATGGTCAGGGGGTGGCCAACCACAAAAGGAGCTTCACACCAAACTAGCTGACTCCCTTCTCTTACCCAAAGCTCTTCATGCTCAGCATGTAGCAGTGTGTTCAAGTTCCTGCAAGGAAATTTTTCCAAACTGCCATGATCTCGCATCTCCTTTTTTCCTTCCAAATCCTAACATTCTTCAGCTTCTTCCCTTATGAAATATCCCCAAAGACCCTAGGAAGTTACACTGTTCTCCTACTACTTAACATCTATTGGGAGATAGCTTTATGTCATTCTTTAAGTACTACATGCATGTGAGTCTGCTTTTCAGTGGAAAAGTTATAAACCCCTGAAGGGCAGGAAGTCCGTCTTAAAGCCATTTTACAGCATCCCAATAAAAGAAGTGACAGTGAGACACACAGTAATCTCTCAATAAATGCTTCATTCATGTATTGGGGCCAGAAAGGAATCATCCAGCTTTAAGTTTTATCCCATCCTCCACTTCTTTGAAGAATTCCCAGTGTGTATCAACTGGACCCCACTGAAGAGTCTCAATAAAGAGGTATTCTCTACCGTTGAAGATAGCTTATTCTAAACATCTCTCCCTAAGTACTAAAACCCTTTTTTTTCTCTTTTAAATGTTTCACCTTATTTCTTCAGCTGCCCTGGTTACCTTACAACTTTATCTTGTTGTAAGGAATGTACATGGGACTTTCCAGGTAGCTCAGTGGTAAAGAATTCGCCTGTCAATGCAGAAGATGCAAAAGACGTGGGTTTGATCCCTCGGTCAGGAAGATTCCCAGGAGGAGAAAATGGCAACTCACTCCAGTATTCTTGCCTGGAAAAACCCACGGACAGAGGACCCTGACAGGCTGCAGTCCATGGGGTTGCAAAGAGTTGGACATGACTGAGCAACTGAGTGTGTGCGTGCGCACGCACGGAGTATGTATATAGTCTTGAATTCTTTCTAGAACAATATGGGATAGGATTAAATAAATGCATAATGTAAAAGGCTTTCTAATCATCACTGATTTCCATATGCCCAGAATATAAATAACTTCCTTTAGGCTACTTATCTTGACATTTCAACACATATTACTTTATATTTTTAATTAAGGGTCCCATATGTGTAGTGTATATTTTCTCAATATTGCATGCCTAAAAGCATAACCTTCACGTCCTTTGTAGCCAAATTCAGTCCCTGTCACCAAAACATGCTAATAGAAACAACTTGATAATTACAAATAGAAGTAATGAAAAAGAAAAATTCTAGGTTAAAAATGGAGAGGGGAGATTGTGGAAACTCTTATTCTGAAAAGTATCTCCAAAAGTGATTTAGTAAATCACTCTGTTAACGGAAGTGATCTGATCTCAAAAAATACACCTGGAAACCAGAAGCTTCTCTTTCCTGGAGATTCTTTCTTGCCACATTGAAAAGCCAGTGTCTGATCACCAGGGGGCGCTGTACACACAGTCCCTGCACCTCAAGGACACTCCTTTCACAGCAAAGGGCAATTGTTCTCACTAAATTTTATTTGTTGTTCACAATCTGATGAGAAGATTAGCTTAGATAATGGCTTTCTCCTCTAGAAATATCATCCCATGGGCAAGGAGAGACGGAAGTAGGGGCTGAGAAGGGGGAGTGGAAGGCATCTAAAATCCCCAAATAAAATTTCTTTTGCTAAGCTTTCATGGGCATCCTGTGGTCCATGGAATCACAAAGAGTCAGACACGACTTAGTCACTGAACAACCTGAACAACAACAATAGAAGTGTAAAGAGAGAAGTTCAGGAGTCCCCTGTGTCACCATCTTGACTGACCTCCCCACTGAAAAGTTTTTTCTATTGAGATTCTATTGCCAACCCATTTTCCTAACATGTGAAACACTGAAGTTATGTACCATCTTCATTTAGTATTTTCTAATGCACATCTACACTGTGGTATAATTCTAGACACATTTCACAGGATAAGCAAAATTATATAAAATTAAAGAAGCAGTGAGGAGCTTTCACAGCCATCCTTAAACATTTAGATATTTAGTTTTGTGATGAATAGTTAAGATAGGAAACACCATGAATATATTTGACTACACTTCTACAATTTGATGAGTATAAATAGATAATGAAATGGAGACTGAAAAAAAAATTTACTTCTCTAATTCAGGTATCAGCTGCAGCATCTAATCCCTTTAGAATCA